CAAAATATACACAACTTGCAACTAAGGTCCTAAAGATCGTAAGATACTTAAACTAAGCAAAGAAATTGCGAATTTGCAGCCTCCTCAACCTCGGTATGATCTCGCGCACATGACTGGTCTCGCGGGCACAACGCCTGGTAGACCCTCAGTCTATGTCCACTCGCGACGACAGTCGCAGCACGATGGCTCACACCACGTCTTCTGCGTCGTTGGTGCAATGGAACGAACTGGGCCCGCGATGGTGTGGAGGGTCGCGATGGCCTGGGAAATATGTTGCTGCGATGGCCTCGTCGGCCCTCCATCTTCATACGCTTGTGCCCGACTCCTTGATGCGAGAACGTCGGGCTCTATTATACGCATGTAACAACAAATTTCGTGAATTGAATTTAAAAAAACAAGAAAAATATTATTCAAATGAATTTCTTGAATCAAAATAAATATTGCGGGTTACAATCTCTATTTTCTCCTCTGATTCTTCTCACAAACAATTTTAAGTCTTGGAGCGAAATCTTCGGCTTGATCTTCTCCTTGACTTGATTTGACTTGAATTAACGTAATCCGAGGGCTTGAAAGCTTTTTCCCAAATCAAACGTCAAAATATCCCAAGAACGCGAAGAACACGAATCCTTGGTCTTCGCCGCAAAGTAGATCTCGAATCTTCTTCACGCCGGTTTTGAATTTGCTAACGTTATTCGGAGGCTTCGCAGCTTGTTTCCGGATTGAACGCTAGTCTTTAGGTTGAACGCGCTTGAATCTTGCTTTGAATCTTCAAGAACGCCTTTAAATCTTCAAGAACACTTGAATCTCGTCGAGAGATCTTGAACTTGAACTTGAATATGAACGTAATTCGGAGGCTTGGTAGCTTGTTTCCAGATTAAACGTCGGTTTTGAACTTGAATGTGCTTGAATCTTCCTTCGAATCTTCAAGAACGACTTCGAATCTTCAAGAACACTTGAAACTTGTAGAGAGAATTCTCTAGAGCTCTTGAACTTCAAAATATAAATTATGATGTGTTTTTGACATTAGGGAGAGCCCTTATTTATAGGTGTAGGAGAGAGCACCCTACCAAATTTAAGAATCGTAGGACGCGATTTGATTGGTCCATGATGATTCACATAAGATCTTTAAGATCTATTTAGATCTCCCAAGATCTTCTAGATCCACTTAAATCTTCCAAGATCTTCTAGAAGATATGATTTATTTACCAAGAATAAGGGTTTGACACTTGACATTATTTGATTGGTCAAGAATTAAAATATTAAAATATCAATTAATTAACTATTTAAATTTAGGAATTAAATATGTGGAAATTCCTAAAATATAAATAGAAAATATAACTTGATTTTTAATAAATTAATTTCCACGTGGCGCGATTTGATTGGACACAATTTTTATGTATCTACAAATGCCCCCTCGAGACTTGTTCACGGACAACGTGTCTTGGAGTGAGTAAGCCGCGACTTCTTTGATTTGGCTATATGGCTGGGCCAATTTCAAAACTTAAAGCCCACTTTTAAAGCAACAAAGCTTAAACCC